GGCTGTGTTTTCTTAGTGTGTAGATAGCATACGTAATGAGAAATTCTTCACAAGATGAAGGTCAAATCTTTTGTGAACTTCATTTTTGCTCGATTGTTTTGCATAAATATGTAATATGATGGATTTTAGAGGGATGTCCTGTTTATTTATTCATGTTTAATTGTAAATTATGATATGCAGTGTGGGGGTCAGGGGTTAGGGTTGAAGATGGAGGTGTTCTCTTGATGTAGATAACATATGATTAATCTAGAGATACTGGCTTCGTTATATCATTGAAACCATGGAGGGTGAGAATAAAATTTAGTTATTACTAAAATTATTGAATTAAATATTATATTTAATGAACTAAAATATTGCATTTATTAACAAATTAAGAAAAAGACATTAAACTGAATACCACGATTAAAATTACATTGAACGCACAAAAAAAGTTGCATATAATAAAAAATTAAAATCACACTAGTTTTGTATTCAATACCTATTACTTATACTTGATTAGAATTTACAAATAATTATTAATTAAAAGTAATAATCATATTAAAATAAATTTAAATTATTAAATAATATAAGGATAAAAAAATGGATGTACAAGGAGTTACAATTTGTTGTAATATAAAATGAAGGGCAAAACACAAATAATGAATTACAACAATTTGGTGAACCATTGGAGATGCCCTAAGAATAGATTGAAAAAACTGTTTTTGCCTTGTGTTTTCATTCAAACATTTATGTCAAAGGGTCTGAGTTTTTATAATTCATCCGTTGGACTTAGGCAAGCAGTCTGCTTAATGTAAGGGTTGCAAGTGTCTTATGTAGGGTTATTGTGATGTTTGTTTACGGGTTACTTGCTACATTTTTCCAATTAACTTAACTGTTGTTATTATTCAGGAAAAAGCATGTTTTTCCACTCCAGTCACGCCTGAAGCAGGAAAAGGCAAAAGTAAATTCTCAAAGAACATTACTCATGGCTTCTATCTTGAGAAAGGAAAATCAAATCATGCTATGGAAGATTGTTTAGTTTCAGAATTCAAGAAATTAGACGACCATGAGTTGGGTTTATTTGCTATCTTTGATGGGCATATGGGGCGTGATGTTGCAAAATACTTGCAAGGGAACCTCTTCAACAATATTCTGAAGCAGGTAATTTTATTATTTCTTCTGTTCGACAATGATTTGTTCTTTATATTTCTGATCTTGATTTACTCCCGGATTAACATTTCTTTATTTAAGCAGCATGACTTTTGGACTGACACAGAGAAGGCACTAAGGAGAGCTTATAAGACAACAGATAATGAAATATTAGAGCAATCATTTCACTTGGGGAAAGGAGGGTCGACTGCTGTTACTGCAGTATTGATGGATGGGCACAAGTTGGTAGTTGCAAACGTGGGGGACTCTCGGGCCATCATATGTAAGAAGGGTGTTGCATATCAAATATCAGTTGACCATGAACCAGGCAAAGAAAAGTCGACGATTGAGAAAAAGGGTGGCTTTGTATCAAACATTCCAGGTATTCGAAATACTGGTTGTGAAAGTTGGATGGTATTGACTTGACATAATTAATGGTGATCTCTAATGCTTAGACTCTTCGAAATAGTCGGAGTACTGGTGTCGGACACGACACATGGGTATGGAATATATGTTGGATCCTCGAAATTTCAGTCGGACACTTCGTTGTTTTTTCTT